AAGGGGCTCTTGACCAGCCACCTCATTAACAAATGACACTCATCACTTGGGAGATGTCATGGTCTTCAAAGCTCTAGTGTCAGGAAGTAGGGACTAAGGCTAAATATTAGAGCAGAAGGGGCTTTTGCACCTTTACTATTGGGGAAGTGATGGGAGATTCATGGACTCTGTGCCAGGAACTAGAGGTGTCTTCTGTGATAATGTAAGATCGTATCCTTCCATTCCCTTTTCCTCTTCCTGTTTTCCTTTTCTACCCACCTGTTTTATCATGTTTTTCAGGGCTACTTTTGAATTAGCTTCATAAAGCTAAAATTTTTGTTATCTCCACCATCCCATGCACAAGTAGCTTTGTACTTGCTTTGTGTGAGTAATGTCCTAGACCCAGTGAGTATTCAAAGGAAATTCAGTTTGTCTATTTTATTGCCTGTCCCTTAAAAGGACTGCAGACTAGAAATTGGAAAGAAAATTAGTTTGTAAATCTTCTCTGAAGCCTCTTCTCTGTATCCCTCGGGGAACGAGGAAGCATTATTCCTAAACTATTCTTTGCTAGTTCTTTTCTCTTCCCTCCAAATGGAACGGCTTCTTTTGTGACCAGGGACATACTTAACTTTGATTCTCCATTTAGAGAATAATAATGACAGCAGGCCACTGTATTACACATCAATTTTTCTCTGTAGGGAACTCACTTTTTAGATGGGCCCACCATTCTAATTATTATTCATACACTTGTTCATTGTCCAAACCTTTGTTGAACAGCTCCTAAATGTCAAGGACCCAGTTGTTTGCTGGGGTAGGAAGGTAAATCTCACATGTGTCTTGTCACAGCCTCTGAAAACCTCTGGTTACTGTGGGTGAGATGGGAACATTGGTGGTTGAGGCCTTGGCCATGTGGGCCAGGGAGGCTCAAGAGCAGACACTTGTCTTGGGCTAGGGGCATAGCCCAGTGGTAGACCATGTGCTTTGGCATGTGGGAGACCCTGGGTATAATCCACGCCCCCACGCCCAAAGACACACGGAAGCCTTTGAAACTAGCAGCTATTCTGTGGCCTTTTGTGATCACACAGAAAACTTAAGAACTCATTTCCATGCCATGATCGTGTCTCCAGGTAAAGGAAATGAAAGGCTGGCACCTGGAGATCAACGTCCCCGTGATCTACAATGTGCTCAGCGACAGCATGGTAGCAGACATCCAAGAGCTGCCCTCAACAGTCCACAGTCTGTCCTGGGTTGCACCTCCATTCTACCTGGGGGACAAGGTAATGACAGCCCATCCTTCTGAGCCCTCTCTGGGCCTCCTCTGTCACTGCATGAACAATGGTGACAGGGGCTCTGGAAGCAAGCATCAGGAAGGTGTTTTGGAAATTATGCCAAAGCTGAGTACACGGGCACACACCTGAAATCCCAGCTGCTCTGGAGGCTGAGGCAGGAAAGCCACAAGTTCCAGGCCAGCCTGGGAAACTTAGTGAGACCCAGTCTCACAATAAAAAAATAAAAAGGGCTGGGGGCGTAGCTCAGTGGTAGAGCATTTGTCTTGCATGCACAAGGCCTGGGTTCAATGCCTAGTACTGCATGAAAAAAGAAAAAGAAATGAGATGAACCAATAATGAAGAGGACACCCTGCTCACTTCTGGTCAGAGACCAGAGCAAGTGCTTCACGGGCCCTTCCTATATGCGCCTTCCCCACCTCAGCAAAAGAAATCATGTACAATGATTTTCCTCCAGTTTTGGACTGATCAAGAATTTTCCTCTAGGAAAACATAGAGCCATTTATATGATATCTGTTGCAAGCGGGACAGGTATGCTTTTAAATGCCAAACCTGAGAATTCTTTGTTTCAAAGCAGAAGAAAGGCTCCTTGTCAGGAAAACAAAGGCTGGAAAGTGACTCATGAGCTCATTAAGGAAGCGCAGCTCCGTGGCAGTTGCGCTTTCATGAGCAGAATCACGTATATTTACTTACTCCTCAGGGAGCTAATACGTGAGCTGCTCTTCCTGTGCTGCTTAGATTATTATTCAAGGACCCAGCCAGCTCTGCCCACTTTCTGAGGATAGAAATGCAGGCCTTGTGCAGAAACACCATCAGGCGACAGGTGCTTCAAGCTTAGCAGGGGAGAGGTTTGGAAAAGGGATGGCTTTCACTGACCCTGGCTTGGGCAATGGCATAATCTCATGCTGAGTATGACTTTTAGGGTCTTGTCAACTCAAGGTCTTCAGTTCCATCTTCCAGCTGAAGGCCTATGAGCTTTGAAGTCTGAGTGTAGAGAAGTGTTAGCTCTCTCCTATGACCCAATTACCTCATTACGTATTCCTCTTCATACGTGGCCTGTCACAAACTGCCCCCAATACTTGGCATTACAAACAATTGTGCTACGTGGTTTCTGTGGATCAGGGCTCCAGGAAACAGTGGTCCAGAGTTGTGGTCACCGTGTCACCCAGAGCTGTGGTCACTGGGACTGGAGGGTCTGCTTCTAAGTTCTTTCACCTCATTGCTAGCAGGCTTCTGTTCTTTGTTTGCTGTTGGCTGGAGCCTTCAGATCCTCCTCACCAAGATCCTTCCTGGGATACCTGAGGGTCCTCATCCTATGGCAGCTGACCTCCCTCAAAGCAACAGATTAGATAGACAGGAGAGAATGAACAGAAGAGCTCAAGAAAAGCCACAGATGTTCTATGACCTAATTTTGGATGTGACATACTCTCACTTCTGCCTTATTCTGTTCACTGACACATTAGAAGGGAGTCCCTAAGTCCAGCCCACTTTCAGGGGGTGGAGAATTAAGCTTCACTTTTCATAGAAGGGAATGTAAAAAAAAAATTATGAATGTATTTTCTAAAATTATAGCCCATTTAACAGCAATATTTACTTGCAAAAGATGATTTAAGAAGTTATCTGGAATACTTCCACACCCTGAGAACACAGTTCTGTGAGACTTTGTTAGTTTGCAGTCCCAAAAGGAGTTTCTGTCCACAGGGACTCCAACAAGCGGGTGCTTCCCCACTGCCCTAGTCACTTCTTTTTCCTGGAAGAGTATTTTGTCCTGTCTAAGCTGAGGCCATCTTGTTCCTGACTTCCACCCCTTGCTGCTCCTTTCTTCTTTATTGGTTGGGGTCAGGACCAGAGGTCAGACAGCTCTGGCTATCCACTGCTGCATCACCACCATGACCATGGTCTTCAGTGGCATCTAGAGATAGTCCGCGTCCCTGTGGGACAAGCCAGTCATGGCTTTGACACTCAGTGAAACAGTCACCATCTGCTTTCAGGGGAATTTTCTAAAATTTTAGAGTGTTGTTTTGTGACTGCTAGTTATAACCCCAAAGCCTCAGTTTAAATAACAAATCAATGGGCCTAGATAGCCTTGACTTGCTATAGGTTAAATAAATTGTGGTTTAATGGTCATCTAGGAAAAGATCTTGTGTGTGTCAGTATGATTAATATTTTTCTTTTAAATAAAAGTGTCCTCTTGTTGTAAAACTCAGTCATGTTCCTGCTACACACTATAAACTATATTAAAATGAGGTAAAGGAGGTTACACTAACCTTGCGATCCTACTGCATTGCTTTCATCCTAGCCTACAGGTTGTCTGTGTACCATTCTAGAAGTAATGGGTCTCGGAACTTTTTTATGTGTGTTCATGTTGTCATGGTCTCTTTTTTTTTTCTCCAAAATTTTATTGATAAACAGCAATGAGACAGTTTCAAATCAAATCGGAAGTACAGTATCAACAAATAACACACTGCATATATTCTTTTTTTTTTCACACTGCATATATTCTTCTTAGTGGTTAATTGCTGTACAAGATGCAGATTTGAGATCCTATTTACAAACATCATTAGAACAAATCATTCTATTCGTTAAGAGAATGTAACTATATATCTATCCTAACCACTTTGAATACACAGATACAAAATGGACATTCATAGTTATACCCCATTTTTTCTAAGTTCCATTATTGAATATTATAGGTGTGTAAACTCAGCAAAATATTCTAAAATAGTCCAGTAGCCCATAATAGCATTGGGTCTTCTGTTTAACTGGCAATGTCAGAAATGTCATGGTCTTTTTTAATGCCTGATGCTCTTGATGCTGTTGATTGAATCCTAGGTTACCTCCTATGGTGGCTACCTCACTTACCAAATCAAGTCCTTCGGCTTACCTGAGGACATGGTTCTTCTGGAAAAGGAGCCGACTGTGCAGCTCACCGTAGGTATCAGAACAGGACCCAACTAGCAGGAAATAACATTACAGTTGGTGGTGAGCTAAAGTGGGGACGTCTTGGAAGGTGACCTCAGAAGAGCTTGGGTTAAACCATTTCCAATGTTTGGGGCAATCTGGAAAGGAAGTTGAGAGCGTAGAGCATGCGCTTAAAGTCCTGCTTCCCCTGACCCAACGTTTTTCCTTCTCTCTTCTCCACAAGTACTGTGGGTGGCCCTGCTGCTCAGGAGTCACTGCCTCGTGTTGTGTGTTTGTCTTCAGTTTGGCCCTATAAATGTCTTTGAGTCCTTCACATATGCAAGGCCACATTAGTCTGGACTCTGTGAAGGACAGGTGGCTTCTGTCCTGCAAAACAAGGGAGGGGGGACTGGAGACTTAGGTAAATGCATCCATCTGCTGAGCAGCAGGTGTCTGGGAAGAAGAGTCAGCAGGGTGCTGGGTGAGCCAGAGTTGTGCAGTCCAAGATGCCCCTAAGAAGGCTGGGGGCTCAGAGGTACCCTTCAAAATGGGCACAGAAGGAAAAATGCCCATCTTCCAGAACTCATGGAAACCCAGGCACTCAGCGGTGCAGGGCAGGAGGCTGTGGCTAAGGGACAGACAGTGGAGCTCAGCCAGAAGCCAGTGTGCTGAGACACCAAGAAGGAGCCCGGGAGGGTGGAGGGGCAGTGTCACACACTGTGCTGGGAATTTAACTTAATACAGATAGGAAGGGGCACACCAGGATTTTTGAGGCACCACATCCACACACTGTGCCTGGCCGGGTCCAGACTGTGACCTTAAAAATTGCTGGAGGCACAGGTGACATCATACTCCACCTTGATCTCCTGTCATGGAAGGAAGGCGCCATCCCTGGGATGCAGGGTGCGGTGCCATCTCCGGATGGTGACTTTTGCTCTGGTTCATGCACTGTGATGAATGCAGGGCATCTCCAGCTTCCTGAAGGGTCCCCTTGTGTCATTCACTACACAGAGGGAACAGTCAGGCTCACGTATTTTGTCCCAGCCAAGGGCCTCGCCTGCTTCATGATCAGGTATTGCCCTGCTCGGCCATTTCCACTTGCATGCACATCTCCTGATTTGTTTTAAAACTCCAGGGACCCTTTGCAGAGCATCTTGAAGATAAAGCACTACCATTATGGTCTAGAAAAATGGCTGGGCAATAAAAGTACTGCCTCAGCAGCTCTGCTTTAGGGTTTCCTGTTTTTGCAGAGTACCTCATAGTTGAGGCTTTTGGTGCACTTGTGCTTATTTTCTACTGCTGAGGAGTTTACTATGCATACTATTGAAACTCCATGAGAGATAATTACGGAAATGTCTCTTCAATTTTACTTTCAAACATAGGCAATAGTTTAGGCTCATGAAACATTTACTCTGCCGCTTTGTTCTAAGCCACTGTAATTACGAGCTTCGGGCCATGTTTCTCAGATTAAGGTTTTCCGTGATTTGGGATTCCAGATAATGCTCAGCTTTCCGCCGGCCCAGCCCTCGGCATTGGAGCTACAGCAGGAAAGCTGCACTGCTGCGTGCATGCTTGGGCGGGGTTGCTGGTGGAGGGCACTGACCGCTGCATTCAGCCCCACAAGAGCCACCCTTAGTCTCCTCCTGGTGGACACTGAGAGTGAGCAAGCCTGGGCCTCCTCCAGACAGGGCTGCCAGCTCCCTGTTCCTTGCCACCTGGGCTCTGGGCACCCCAGCTCCGCAGTTGCACAGCTGTGCTCTGCTAACCCTCTGCCCCCTCCAGCTACGCACCCAGTAGAGCACTTCTGGCTACCTCGGCTGGCCCTGTAGGCAGTAATGAAAACAGCACTTCTTGCTGTTTGCTACAAAATGCAATTAAAAATTGTTTTCCATCTTTTTAGTCCCTTTCAATCAAGGTAATTTTCCAGACTTCCTATCTGTAAAAATACACCATATTAGCTGATATGATTCTATTTCATGTCCTTTGATGAGTCAGTTAATTCTGAAGTCTTGTTTTAAAGACAGGCGTTCCATCTAATGCAGACCCTTCGGAGTTTGTTCCTGGGTCAGTCACACACCTCACAGCATTGCAGCCGGTGCGCTCACGCGTTCACATTCTTCTCTCCGCAGGGTCAGCACATGTCCATCGTGCATGAGGAGCCCGGCAGTCCGCAGCCGGACCAGGTGTACAAGGGGCGAGTGCGGCTGCTAGAGGTAAGGGAAAGACACTAGAAGGGGTGCTTGGGGAACCCTTCTGTTCTGTTCTCATTGTTCCGAACAATCATGATTTTTGACTTAAAGATAAATGACATTTACGTAGATACAAGTTTATTTACAGATAATGATACAAATTATAAAAAGTATAATGTTTGATATTCACGTAGCTTGTACCATCTTTATGGTACTTTAACACCCTCCTCCCTTTCAAGATTACTTTTGTCTTGGAAACCCTGTGAGGTTACAAATGACTTGGTTGGTGTCCAACAACTTCTTGGTATGGTTGGGTAGAAAGCAAAATGTCTTACAGCAAAAGAAATAAAAGTAATATAGCTGAACAGAGGGATACTCATTGTCTCATAAAACATCTGATCATGCTTATTTGATTATTATCCCTTCAAAATAGCATTCCATTTCTACAACTCAGTATATCCAATAACTCAAGGTTAAAGAATTTCCAAAAAATTTTCCCCTCCATAAAAACATTAAGAAAACTGGCAGAATGATCAGAAGTGACATTTTCAGGACTCTGGGCATGCAAACATCTGGGAAGTGTTTTCCAAGAAGGACTGGCTGACTCTCAGCAACAAAGGCTGGGCGTTCAATTTGCCCCATCACCTCCTCCTCTCTGGTTCTGTAGGAACCTTCAGAGTGTGTGGAGCTCCTTCCAAGCATCCCTCTTACAGAACTATCATAACTCAACCTGGCAGGGTGCATTTTGGAAGGTTTCATTGCAAGCTTGTTTTTATTGGACCTGATGATTGGAGTCCTTTTTTTTTTTTTTTCATGTGAAGAAGAAGGATGCAGCCATGTGGGTGCATACAAAGGGTGATATAACTCATTTGTAGGACTGGTGAGATGGCTCAGTGGTCTAAAGCACCTACTTAGAACAAGCTTAGCAAAGCACAGGGACCACAGTTCAATCCCCCAGCACCACATGCCAGCCTGCCCCGCCCCCTGGTGGGCTGAGCTGGCCACACACACACACACACACACACACATAAATAAATAAAAATTAAAAAAATAACTCATTTGTAATCCTGCCTAATTTAAAGGACATCTGCATAAAGCAATAATTACAAACCTGTGTTGATGGGCACACAATGTGCAGAGATGTAATTTCCGTGACAATAAAAGCATGAAGGAGCTGAAGAGGGAATGAAGTTCTTGGTAGAAGTAAAGTTTTTGTGCACTGTTGAGATGCAGTGGGTATTGCTATCCAGCACGGGCAAATCCATAGAGATAGAGCAGAGTGGTGGCTGCCTGGGGCCGCGGTGACAGTGGGCAGTGCCTACAAAGTGGCAAAGGGCTCTTTTAGAGGTGCTGAATATATTCTAAAATTACATTATGGTCATAGTTATGTACTTTCCTTATTTTTAAAATGTATTTAATAAGGGTCTATAGGATCTATAGTAGATCATACTATAGTAGATATAGTAGATCAATCTGATTAGATCAGACTCATAGTGATCCTCCTGTTTTCAACCTCCCAAGCCCTAGGATTCTAGGCATGTGCCACCATGCCCAGTCTCAACCACCTCTCAGCATGCCCCAGGGACGGGCTGGCAAGGCATGCCTGGGCTGGAACCCCGGCTGCTGTGCTCCGCCTAAGCAGGTGCTTTGGTCAGCTGAGCTATCTAGCCAGCCCTACTTTCCTATATTTACTGAAAACTATACTTAAAATGAGATAATACTATTGTATGTATATAAATTAGGCCTTAAGCTGTTCAAAACAAATTAAAATTATGTAAGTATTATTATATTTTATCAGTAGCTAATATTGACTGCACATCTACTACATGCTATGCACTGTGAAAAACACTTTATCTATATTAACTTACTTTAATTTTAATGATAGTCTTGAGAGAGTAACCATTACTATGCCTATTTAAGAGATGTAAAAACTGAGTTCAAGAGAGACAACAGAATGTAGTGATTAAAATACAGGCTTTATATGAAGAGATGCCGGGCACCTGTAGTCATGAGAGAAATGCAAATCAAAACCATAATGAGATATCGCCTTACATATATTAGGGTAGTTACTATTAAAAAAAAAAGTGTTGGCAAGCATGTGGAGGAGGGAGGACCCCTGCACTGTAGGTGGGAATATAAAACGATGTATCTGCCGTGGAAAAATGGTTGATTACTATTAAAATAGAACAAACACATGACATAGCAATGCCACTTCTAGGTGCGTATCTGAACGGACTGCAAATAGAATGTGGGAGAGCTACTCAGACACCCAGGTGTGTTGCAGCATTATTCTCAATAGCCAAGCAGCAGAAGCAGCCTAGAAGTCCCTGGATGGATGAAAAGATAAGGGCAAGGTAGTGTAGATTTCCCGCTGAACATTATTTCAGCCTTAAATAAGAAGGAAATCCTGTCCCATGCATGAACCGTGAGGACAGTACGCTCCTTGAAATAAGCCAGGCACAATAAAACAAATTCCGAGTTAGTCCACCAGTGGAAAGAGCTCGAGCATTCGGAGTCTTAGAAAGTAGAACAGTGATTGCCAGAGGGTAGGAGGAAAAGGAGGAGGAGTTACACATTAGTGGACCTAGAGTTTCTGTTTTGCAAGATGAGTAAGTTCTGGAGGTCTTCCATGCAACTGTGTTTATAGCTTTGAATACTTTTGGAACACTACTACACACCATTGCAATGGAGAAGACAGTAAGTTTTATGCTATGTGTTTTTACCACCATTAAAACTTAAAACTCAATGAGTGCCTGTGTGCAAGGGAAGAACATGCTTCCTGTCACTTTGGTGGACATAATCTGTGCTGCGTGGCTCTGCTGGTTCCCATTTCCCCTCCTTCCCTTTTATCTTCCCATAGTCACTTTATATTTGCTCAGACAAAACATTGCTTTGAAATAAGTAAGACACCAGGACATTTAATTTCATTATATTGCCGTTGATTGTTGAGCTTCCTTTTCCCCCTTCCTTTCACTCTCCTTCCTGGGACTAACCCAGGGCATCTGACTTTGGAATGTAAACATCCCAGGTGTCACTTCCCCTATTTAACTTTGAGTTTTCCTTGTGCCTCTGAAGTGTCTTTTCTTTGGATTGTCCTCTGTCTTCCCTGGGAATGACCTGGGGAGTCACAACATGAACTAAGAGAGCTCCTGCCACTGTGCTTGCCTGCGCAGGGAAACTTCAGACATGCCGGCAGCGGCGCCCCGGTGTCCAGGGAGGAGCTGCTGGTCCTGCTGTCCAGGCTGGAGAGGCTGAGTATCCGAGGTCTCTACTTCACAGAGACACAGCGGCTCACCCTGAGCCTGGTAGAGCTGGATGTGCTCCGGGATGGATACGGACAGCGGGCGCCCCACGTGGAGCGGTGCAAATGTCCTCCAGGCTACACTGGGTCCTCCTGTCAGGTAGGAAATCCTCCCATCCACAGCATCCCGGAGGCAATATCTGTGGCTCATTCCACACCATGGGACCCATGGGGCCCTCTAATGTATTTAATACAGAGTCTACAGGGTCTCACTCCACAGATCAGACTTGTAGTAACCCTCTTGTTTTCAGCCTTCCAAGAGCTGGGATTATAGGTGCATACCACCATGCCCAGTCTCAATTGCACCTCAGTGCATTTTTTTTTTTCTGCAAAGCTTTATTCCAGAGGGGCGCAGTCCTTCTTGGCAGCTGCCTTTCTCATGGTGGCCAGCACATTGCTCAGCTCCTCATGCTTCCTCTTTTTTTTTTTTTTTTTTTCCTCTGTATTTTTGGAAGGGTCTACAGGAGTTCAGGGTCTCACTACTAGATCGAACTCATAATGATTCTCCTGTTTGCAGCCTCCCAAGGGCTGGGATTATAGGCGCACACCACCATGCCCAGTCTCAATCACCATCTCAGCGCACCCCAGGACAGGGCCTGCATGATTGAACCCCTGGCTCCTGGGCCTGCTTGCAGGTGCTTTAATCCGCTGAGCTATTGGGCCAGCCCTCTCACACTTCCTCTTAGCATGGATGTGTATCCCCATCCTTTTCTTGTTGAACTGGAGGGCGTGCTTGACCTTGGAGACCTTGCGCAGCTCCATGGAGCACTGCTTGTAGGGGGTGAAGCCACATACCTCTCAGATCATGTCCCGCAGGAACTTGGTGTGTTTGGTGAGGCGTCTGTGACAGTGGCTGTGCCTCGGTTTGCTCACATTCTTAGTCACCTTGTGACCCTTGTTGAGGCCCACGGCCATGGGACAGTGCAGGGCCGTGGCTACTGTTGTTCAATGGTTGCTGTGGCGGAAGTGCATGGAGGAGATTGAATCCAGTCCCTGTGCCTGCCTAAGCAGGAGCTTTAGTCCACTGAGCTATCTGACTGGCCCTCATCCTGTAGGTTTTCTACTAATGCTAGCTCTTCTGTCTCACCTAGACTCCCTTGAGGGCTTCCATATGAAAAGGCATCCCCAGTGACTTAACACGACAGTCGTATTAACTATGATGACCATAGGAAACCACAGGAGCTCAAACCACTGGGGGCTGCAGAAATCCTAAGTAGAAAGACACCTGCAGGTGGGCATCGTGGTGCTGGTGCCCTGTGGGCCAGCAAGCTGAACAAGGGCACTCATAGCTCTCTTGAATCCAGGGACTCCATAGAGGCTCCTCACACAGCTTCCAGCAGAATTTAACTCCTGGGAATTTTCTGGATTCTGCCAGGGGAAATCGCATTCCAATTTTCTGGCTCTCAGGGGGTCTTCACTATTTAAAATCCAGTTGCCCTAAGACACCTTGAAGTTAGCAGAATGCGCCATAAAACGAAACTGTTCAGCACTCAAGCTCTAAGCGTTTTCTTTTCCAGGGGAAGGGGGCACAACGTTAGTATGATTAATAGGAAACAGCAAACCTGATCATTCTGTGTATTACATACATGCAGGGTCCACAGTTCTAGCAAACCTCCACTACCTAGGCCTTAATAGCGGGTACCCCAGCCCACCTGCACAGGAGCGTCTCCACTTCTTAACCTTGCAGTGCCTCCTGTGCTATTTTTTAAAAAAGGATTTCTTATGAAATTTAGCCCCTTAAGATGCCCGTGTTCAGCCCCCTGCCCTCTCTCTCCTCACTGCTGGCCTGATCAAAATAGATAGCCCAAGGGAAGGAGAGGAACACGGCCTACCACCCTCATGCCTGGGTGTGTTCTTTGCAGTGACTCAGCCTGTGATTTGTGGTTGCTCTAATCGTCTGGAACCCTCTGTGAGGCCAGGCAGGTAGAAGGCTATGTCTGCCCCACCTCGCAGGAATTACAGAGCGGCGCACTCACCTGCTGGACTGCTGCGTGTGCTCCGGCACAGGCTGACTCATGTGTGAAGTTTAAAGGTGGGGCCCCCGCCGCAGACAGCCTTGCGTACTGAGTCAGGCAGGCCTGGGCACTGAGCAGGAAGGGCAGGTATAAGAGAAGGAGAGACACAGAGGCTCCGCACGCAGCTAGCAGGACACCAGGACCAGGATGCCCCCGGCAGGGAAGCGGGCTGCCCTGGGCGCAGGATGGCTGTGGATCTTCGGGGTAGCCCTGGCACATTGTCTGGGGTACAATTCACAGCAGCAGAGAGTAGCATTTCCTCAGCGTCCGGGTCAAAGTCAGCTGCAAGCAAGTTTTGTGGAGTTGAGACCCAACCAGGTAAAGTCTCTTTTACTTTTGACTCGGCATGGGAAAAGGTTCCCAGCTAGGAGACATTTTAAGTTAGGGCGATTCAGGAGTCAGTGGGTGGGCTGGGGGAGGGTCAGTGGCCTCCAAGTCACATTGACTGACAGTGTTTATTACAGTCTCTGACAGATTGCTCTCCCAAGCTATTTAACCGCAAACCCCATAAACATCAGCCCACCTGGAAATGCCAGACAGTTAAGAGCTTGCAGGCTTGTGGGATGTTAATAGGCTATGAAACTTTGTGCCCTTTAGAGCAACTCAGGCCTCAGGACAAAAGAATCCACTGCCTCTAGGCTTCCAAATTCTGCTCAGAAGAAAATTTGCCCATAAAGTGAAACTTGAGGAAAAAAATCCATGCCTGAGAAAAGTGATCAAAGTTTGCCTCATATCTAAAAGACATGCTTAGATTTGTTAGGCAGGAAACATTATCATTTCCATTCTTTCTTTATATTTCCTGGATGGTACAAGTATACTTGCAGAGAAATAAATCCTATGGCTGCTGAAATAGTCCTGGGCTCTGGATAGGGACATCATTTATCATTTAGAGTATAAAAGTTGACTGGGAAATCTCCTGGAAGATTATCGCTTTATGAAACTTAACTAGTTACAAAGCCCCTGTATTGAAATAACATATTAGGATGCATTGATTTTCATTTAGGGTAATTCTTCGATACATTGTGAATATTTGAACCGCATTTTATGTAAAACATGAATCTGCTTATTTTATAGAGGTGGGAAAATGATTATATTTCAATAACTTACAAGTGTATGGAGAGTCAAATGGCTTAGCTCTTAAAGAGTATTTTCCTGCATTGAATCAAAAGAAATTCAGGTAGACATTTAATTTTAATCCTGATAGACCATCCTTCCCCAAAGTGTGTTTCATTGCGGTTTTCTACTCAAGCACCTTATTGTAAACTAACTGGATCCATTTATTGATTTGAGCAACTTGTCCTTTACCAAATATAATTATTTCGCTAGCATGTAATGTGATGTACGTGATAACCGTAGCATATTTGCCACTGAACAGTGGATCTTGTTTGTTGTTGATGTGATCACGTCGGAGCTAGCTGAATCTCATTCCGATATGGCAGTTGTGCTATCAGGAAAAGCACATTCTCTTCATACTTTGATCTGCTTCAGGCAAGCCTATTCCTGGAGCCCACAATCTAATTTGCTAGCCTACAGGAGCATTATATTGGAAATCATGGTCTTCTTTGTGTATGATCAGTAGTCGTTGCTAAATTTGGAAAGTGCTCCTGAAAGCAACTGGAAGGTTCAGCCCTGAGGAGCTCCTGACTCATCCTCACTCCAGGGCTTTCTGTCTTCTGCTTGACCGAGTAGAGCCTTTCTGGCCATGGATGAATAAGAACGGAGCAGTGATTTGAAGATTTCCTTTGGCTGAGGTTCAGAGCCTATTAGATGTATGTGCTCTTCAAAGAGGCTTAGATAAATGACCATTCTTTTTCTTGTAATACTAATTTTTCTTTCCTGATGCCTTAGCATTAGGGCATATATGGCACCAGTGGAACAGGCTCGGGACAGTGCCCTATTTTAATCTGAGCACTCCTGAGCTTTGCCAAAATAAAGAACGTATCTTGATCCTCTCTGTAGGCCAACACCTAAAGGATTTCTAATGGGCGCTGTCATTTTGTTCAAGGTACTAAAGTGTTCTTTACTAGAATCCATTAAGAAAGACATCAATTCAAGAGATGAAAACTATAATTCTTTTCATCTAGATGAAATATAATAACTTGTTGCTTAGAAGGAGATCATATGCTGAAAGTGGAAACAATCAAAGCAACAGCGAAGCCAGCTGGGGATGCTTCAGGCTGGGTCTTGGTGTGTTTGACACAGACCAAACATTGGTGAAGAGTTCTGGACCCACCCCAGCACCTCTTTAACCCGCCCCTCCCTGGCTCCCTGTTGCCCTCAGACTGTGGAGTGGCAATACAGAGAAGCCAGTAATTCTAGTAGTATCGTGCAGATTCACAGCCTTTCCCGGACCCCGAGTCTACTGCTCCCTCTCTCAGCCCAGAGCCGTACTTTGAGACAGACCAGCTGTTGGAAGAGAATCTGAACCTGAGGCAGTTTGCGCAGGCATCCTCCCAGCTGTTGGCTGGGGCTCTGATCCTCTTGACTTGCTCATCTGTGCACCCACTCCACCCACCCTCGGAACAACTGGTACGAGGAGAGGTCCTCTCATCCCACACCTGTGCTTGCTCTCATTTGCCCACCGTACACTTCATTCCCACCCTGACATGGAAACAGAACACAACCTAACAAAAAGAAGGGAAAGCCAGTGGCTGAAATTAGAAGCCCACACACTGAGTAAAAGAAGGAAGAGGGAAACGTGAATACTTCACAGAGCTGGCACATGCTGCGGAGAGTGAATGTTCCCCTTCCTTGTATTAATTCAAACTTTGTTTTGAACACTAGGGTTGCAGCCCTGGATACTATCGGAATTACAAAGGCTTGTATACCGGACACTGTGTTCCCTGCAAATGCCACGGACATTCGAACCGATGTCAGGATGGGTCAGGAGAATGTATTGTGAGTAAATTGGTAGTTTGATACTATCATTAATCTATTTCTCTTCCCCAGTCCCTTTGCCCGAATTAATGCCACACCCCCAGCAAACCCTAAGCAGAGGGCTAGAGTGCTCTGGCACTATCAGGCTAAACTCTGTGAGCTCCGCGCACATTTCCTGCCTCCTAACGTGCACCGTCCACGGAGGACACCTGTCTGCGCCATCACACAGCACCGCGTCTTCTGCATCTGTGCCTCATTAATGGAGTCCTTAGGTGGATCATGGCATTTAACTCTTGCCAGGATATGATAAGCCAGAGGCGTTACTTTGGGCCCCACTTTTGTTGGGACAGCAGGAGGCTACACGAGGGGGGCTTACTGCTGTCAGGTGACCAGTGACAGTAATAACAAAACAAGAACCCAAGAGAGGGGACACTGAGAAAGGCTACCGCTTCTTCTCAGTCCAACAGAAAGCTTCATCATTGCCAATACAAAGCAGGGTTACAGGAAAAAAGTGGGGGTGCTGGGGGAACAAAGGGCTGCCCACCTGTCCCCTTCCTTATAGTGTCTGCACGCTGCTGCTACCCTGTCTTGACTCAGTGTCAAGACCCCTGGGCAGTCCTTGATGTCTGTAGCTTAACTGTCAAAAACTAACCGAGTTTTGGAAGATATTATAAAATTTTTCTACTTAAAACCAGAAAATTTTCTCCTGCATCTTGCAGCAGAACCTTTTTTAAAATTTTGCTTCCTTTTCCCCTTTGGTCAGAGTTCTTCCTGAGATCTGTGGTCTCTCCAGTCCGGTGCTCCCAGGAACCCAGGGCCCAGTTGTGTTGAGCCCCTTTGGAGATACCCCTTGCCGGTGTGGGCTTCCTGTGTGTGGCGTAGTGCTGCCCATGTCGCACCTCCTTGCGTTCCTAGGCTATCTGAGCCAGTTCAGCATGTCCCAGACATCTGCCTCCTCTGCAAGATGGGACAGGCCAGAACAAGAAAGCACTGTAAAAGGCCGCCCAATAGAATATTTTGTTGAATTATAACCTTATAAGCTCAACAAAAATAAAAGATACTAAGAAAGATTGTTTTCTACATCCAAACCATTCCTAATAAGTTAATGTTTAATATCATGTGTCCAAAAGAATAAAAAAAAATGGAGAAATGTTGTTTCCCAGCTCCTAAGTATTCCTGTGCCACAGTTTATGTTTGATACTGTCTGTTGTGTGTATCACAGGTGAATGCTTTAATTAAAAATAAATATTTTTTATCACTAAACCATTGGTAGATGTTGAGTTCACCTTATGGAAGCTGCCCAGGAAAAAAGGGAATTTCCTCTACAGTTCATTGTTCACCTCATGAAAGGCTGACTTGCAACAGTCATAATTCATATTGAAATCAAATAATGTTCCCTTTCTTTATGACTTTGTCTTCATTTGT